TTTTTTGCGAAGTATAAATCACATTGGCCTGTCTTATCGTTTAATTGGTACGTATTTTGCGTGTTTTTGAAATGACCATGCTGAACGCAAACAAAACAAACGCGAACTAAAAACCAATTTTATTGTTTTAGCGCACCATGAATAATTATGAAAAAAAAAAACGTGAAACGCATCTAACCAAGTGTTTTTTCTAAATTTTTGCAAAATATGCAGGTCCGGTGGTTAATGCCTTAAGATACCGGACCTGTAACAAAGTGCACATCGGAGAAACTGGGAGACGCAAAGGTGACCGATTCGATTGACCGAACATTACGCTGCACACCATGGTCTCAACGTCGGCGACATGTTGGTATCGGTGATCCGTTCTGGCTTTGGCAGTGCGACAGAAAGGTGCAGTTTTGAGGCTAGAATGATATTCAGACACCAGACACTGGTGCCAGCTGGTCTGAATGTGGATTTTGATTTGATTTGATTTGAACTTCTGAAAAATTTAGTTTTAAATTTCTTTTGAACGTTACATTGTGCGTGCATTTTCAGTTGCTTTTAAACCATTAGGAAGAGGGAGCACCCTTGTCCTTCTCGCCTTCCTTTGCGCGAACATTTTCATCGAGAGAGACACGTCTGGGTACGAGGCAGCCCTTGAAACGTCTTGTTTCTCCTAGCTTTTCTACGCATATTTTGAAAAAATGTTCAAACATTCGATATTTATGAATTGAGACAAACACGCACGGCTTTTATGGTCAAATGCGTAATTGTGATCTTTGACCCACCCTCTAGCAATCCTCAGATCAGTCGAACTTGTTCTCCCAACGTCTAGGCTACTGTTAAATAGTTAACGCCCATAAAACAAGCTGGTAGATGAAACAAAATCTTACAGATAAGAGAACTATCTATTACAGATATAATATTTTCCGGCCCTATTTCGTTATTACTTCCCTTACGTCCATAACGTAACGTATTCAAGTTGAAAGGAAAACGAGAATATCGCGTACTCCTCTGAAAACTTACCCCTTGAGTTGATTATATCACCTGCACATAAAAGCGGATCGATTTCATGTAAACAAGAAAAAAAGTATGGTTGGAAGAAAAATTTATGGCAGCGGTGGGATTCGAACCCTCGCCATCGAAATGACTGGTGCCTAAAACCAGCGCCTTAGACCACTCGGCCACGCTACCTCGCTTACAGTCAAGTGGTGTTATGCTGCTCTTTTGTCAGTAGTTATATAGTTTTTTTTACGATTAAAAAACAAAACGGAGATATGTATTTGGGTTGATTTTGCTGTTCAAAACATTCAAGAGAAAAATGAAATGACAATTTTTGCCTTTTCCCACCCTTTTCACTGGAGCCAAGTCCGGTTTTTGCTCGTTTGAAATTAAGATCTTATCAGTTTGTTTTACTCATGTAGGGGTTTGTTGTAGTTCACCAGGTTCATGAGATTTCAGTGTTTTACTAAGTTTTATCATTAGAGGCCATTCTAAGATGATTTCAAGAGAATTTCTTGGTTTTCTCCTCTTGTTTTGTCTACAGATTTGCTTTTGACTTCAATCCCGCACTTCAACCTCGCTCCCTCGTAGTACTTGGTTGTATCTGCAAGGAAGCGAATGACAGGCTCATAAGGGGTGTTCTAGAAGTGTTGATCATGGTAGGTATTTGTGTTGTTCTTGTTTACGTTAAATGGCCTGGCTTAATCTTTGTAAATACTAGTATAGAGAAAACGAAAGTTCACAAGGTTGTGTTTTCCCTGCTTGATTTGTTTTTATACCAGTTTTTATGACACACTTAAAGTGTGAATGGATTATCTTTTTAGGCACTGAGTACATACAGTGATCTCGTGTTAATAGAAGCTTCGTTAATGTGCCTCTCAAGACTTCAAGTCATACTCAGCAAGGTGAGTGAAGTACCTATCGATTTGTACTGGCATTATACAGTCAGGTCTATGGTGGAGAAAACATGACTAAAAATTACAAGAAAGGGAGAATTTTGAAGTATTTCTAACTATGTCAGTGCGACTGGTACTCTCACCTCTCTTGCCATATAATTTCCTAACTTTTGATTTAGCGTTTTTCTTCCAGACTCAAAAGTTAGCGCTGTCTCGTGTAATCGTTATTAATGTTAGTTCTGAACTCGTCTTAGGGTAGATGGACCTTTAACTGAGAGGAAATGGGCTCTCTGTCTCACTGTGTTTTTCAACACTGTTTACCATTAGTCCTCACATCAAACTATAATTATTGTCAAGTGTATCCACCGTTTTCTCTTTCTAGGATTCCAAGTATCATAAAGCATTTTTCTGGATTGCAGTGGCAGTGCTTCAGGTAAAGACAAATAGAAACTGTTTTGATGAATGCATCTTGTAGTTAAATAGTTATTGACCAAAATGGAGTTTGATGGCAGCTTATTTTGAGCATTAAATCAGAGCGTTTGGAATGTACTAAAGACCTTTTGTCGTTTCAGCTGTCGGAAGTATCACTGTATCCTTGTGGCCTTGCTCTTCTGGAGCAAACTCTCATAACGCTTGAAACACATGGCGCCTTTGAATCACAGGTTTGTTGAAAATTTTAGTCACTTTTGTACTGGGTTATGTATTTTTCAATTGACCATTGTTACATAGACCATAATGCACCATGTCTTCTCCTAAAATTTTACATAACCATTGTTTCTAATTTCTCGTGGGTATTACAATCGTCCCAAGAGTAGACAATGTTTATGCCAATTTTTTCGGTGTAAACAAGGTGAATTATGGTGCATGAATTATTTGCTTTAGGGTTCGCTGGCTATTATAGTTTCGCCTGTCTGTTTGATGTTATATTTCATTAGCACGTACTTACTGTAAAACATTTTTTAATGCCAGTTTAGCAGTGGTTTAAAAAAAATTCTGTCTTAAAAGACGGAAAAAGGAACAGACTTGGCAGCGGTGGGATTCGAACCCACGTCATCGAAATGACTGGTGCCTAAAACCAGCGCCTTAGACCACTCGACCACGCTACCTATCGCGCCCAACTCTTTCTTGATTAACGAACTCATTGAGTTGGGAATGCGCTTTGGAAAAGCAATTCTTTTTATTTATTTATTTTTTCTCGTTGAGGAATTATTGGAAAGTTTCTCTGTATTTTATGCGATGAAATGTTTTAATGTCATTCCTCTGAAAGAGAACCTGTGGTTAGATTTTTGTCAAACTTCACCGTTTGGTTGTTTAAGTTGTAGTAACGTAATTTTTAAAATGAAGTCGTTGGGCCCCCATACTCGTTTGGGAGAAGCAGAAACTTGTAGATACGCAATAATTCCTACAAAATACCAATACGATTATATTTACGAGTACATGCTTTGAACACGTTTCCGGCGATAGTTTTTGTTCTGTTGTTTTTGTCCGTTCTGGGAGTTATTCTATCTTCATTCTAGTGAAAGAAAGTTACTTGAGGATTTGCCACCTCTCTGGGGAGCTCCAGCCTTATAGCAAAGGCAGCCATGTTTTAAAGCGCCACGCTAATAACACGTGTAATGTGCGCAATAGGGATGCACAATGCAATAAAAAGGAATGACCTTAAAATGTTTTAATTTTTTGTAGCCGGTGGATAAAGTGCTTATGGCTGTGAGGAAGGAACCCTTATTGGAGTTTCACTGTAAGCAAATGGATCATTTCGTTGGTCTTAACTTTTCAAACAACTTCCACTTTGCATTGATGGTGCATCTTGTTAAAGGTAACAATAACCTACCTCCTGCCGGGGACAATTCTTTATTAATTAAAAATTATTGAATGAGGCTGAGTATGATGTGAAGAACTATCGCGGACTGAGTTGGATAACTGCCTCCAAGATCTGCTTAATTCTTCACATTATACGAAGGGCGCGAAAATTTTTTTTTTTCATTCAAAAGAGTTCTTAAAAAGCTTTCTTTTGAACTTTAGCCTATTTCTCGGCACGATTTCAGGATATAAACAGATGTTTTTCTTGCAGTTACTCCTCGAAAAGTAGATAGCATCCATCGAGTGAGATATTTTGGGTATTCTTGCATTTCTTCCGTACAGTTTTAGTCCCAAATTCAGCTATTTCGTCTTCGGATAGCCGTGAACACTAGTTCTTAGTTTACACGTTGATAGACAGCTAGGCGGCCACGCCTGGCAAAGGAAGTTGATCGATGGTCTATTTTGCTTATACAGCCTCGTTTCCAGGCCAATATACCATCGATCAAACCTCGTTTCCAAACCAGCGTACCTTCGAATCGATGTTATACTGCTTTGAGCCAGTCAGAAACGGCGAAACGTTTTAAATGAATAATAATAAGGAACATCTTTGAATCATGTCACGTAGAAGAGTCGAGGTTTGAAGCCATTATCTTACATATGCTTTTGGGTATACACCCCATAGCATGCACTTGTTATCAGATAAGAAAAAACCTTATATAAATTAATTTGCTTGGCTTAAAGTAACGAACTCACGGGTTTTAGTTTAAAGGGTTTCAATTCACGGGTACATCAGCTTTTCAACTCTAAAGGTCTCTAATTTTGTCGAATGGTAACCATCAATTACCCCTAGGATAACATATGTCGTTTCTGGAATTTTTGAAATACCCTTTTTTTCCCTAAGTAATTTCTATTTGACATTTTTCAATTTTCTTTGTTCTATGATATAAATTTTGCAATTTTTTGTACGTGGCTAGGATTTATTTGTATTGGTTTCTCTTTGCGTAGTCCCTTCACGGAATTTTTCCAGGCCTTCTCGGTCAATTCACTTCGGTGACGTATCCGAGGCGAACGGGCACTTGTTCAGTTGGATCACGTGACCCCAAACGCATTGGCCGCGCGGAATAATAAGGCCAAGGGACCAGGCAAGCTTTCTCTTATGTTTAGGTCATACCCATTCCTGGGATTAAGTGTTCATTAGACAAGGGGTTGGGGACTTCAGAATGTTCTAACTTTGTAAGTATAAGAAGTCAAAGTTCTCCTATTATGAAACTGTGCAAATTTTTTTGTAGGAGTCTATCATCCTCAGGCAACTTCGTCAGCGCGAGCTATACGTATTCTGAACTTGATGGATGATATCACAAGTAAACGTAAGACTAGGTAACTATGGTTACAGTTTATTGAGGCCTTTTATTCGAAGAAAAATATGACTGACGAGTCGTTTATACAAGCATGTCTTGAATAAGACGCAAACAGCTCGCATATGGCTCGCGTCTTATTTCGATCAGGGACCGCCTTTTTCGTGTGAATTATGCTATTAGCAGTGGCAATCCAAAATTGCACATGTTAAAATAACGCGTGCGCACTATGCGTTCACGTCTTAAATAAGACGCGAAGGTAGTCGCGTATTTGGTAGTCGCGTATTTGATGCTAAGAAATCTTAATTTCATTTCAGCCGTGGTTCCTTTGTAGTCAACAAAGAAAATCTTGCTTATCTGGCTGGTAAGTTAAGGGAAGATATACATTCCTATTATTGGTAAATAATTAAAAATAGGTGATGGCTTTTCAGCACTTCGCCCACAATCAAGTACAGACACACACTTATCCACACTTGACGAATTTGATGTTAATCGTTTTGGCTTTGATGTGCACGCAATGGCATTTGCGTCTTCTTGCAAGTACGCTTGGTCACCAAAACGCGTCTCATGCCTCATCAGGGCTTAAGATATTTTTTAATAAGTTGGCCGCAATTGCTGATTGGCTGGGATAATTCTCCTCATATTATCAGCCAATCAAAAGCCAAAAATAATTATAATTGCTCACATGTGTTTTCCCACGCTTGTTCATTGGCGGGAATTGGCACCACTGTGATTGGTCAAAGTGATAACTTTGATTATAGGAACTTCAGCCAACTGAACTGAACTATAATACTCTGTTGTTTCCTCCTCAGCTTTGTTACCTGTCTCAGAGGAAGTCCGTTCCAATCTCCGCCCAGGAAACCCAAAAGAACCAGACAGCTCCACGCCACCGTACCCAGGCAAATTAGAGAACAGCAGCATGGCTGGCAGTGCGACTTCCTTAGACTCCCAAGTGTCTATTGTCATCACAACCGCGTCTTCGTCTTCACCGAACGATGATCCTAATGATCATCGCTTTGTTTGGCCCACGGAATGTCAGAACACGCTCTTAAACCCTGGGATCGTGAACGACACTCAGACCCAGGCCCTTTTGCTAACCACTCTGGTAATGTGAAAAAGAAAACATTGTAACGCTTTTAGTGAACTAACGTTTCCGTCTCGATAACGTAGCAGCTGTATGTTTTCAAATATACAACGACTCGTTCAATGTTTGTAGAACCATGAATCAAAAAAGTCTCGTCATCCTCTGTGAAGGCAGTGTGCGTTACTTTTGTTTGACTTTCGTTTCCGCTACAACTCATAAAAGATGGAAACGGGAGTAACGTAATATATTTTTACTACGAAAGCAGTCACTTTTAACCCATTGTATTGTTCCCTTTATAGACCTAATTATTAATAAGGTAAGTTATACACTGTTGTGATTGAAGGTGACATTAGCGTATCGAACTTAAAATGAATGAATTAAAATTTTCCTAACCTTGCAGTTGCGTTGACAATGATGCCTTGGTTTATCGTGTGGTGTGTTTTAGTAAAATCTTATCACCAACGGTGTACTCTTTGCAGGCAATTCTACTGGAACACATAACAGGTGATGCTGAAACTCGTTTTTTATACGAGGTTCTCGCCGAGGCCAGCCTAGTTTTTCCTGGAGTTTTTCCTGTTATGTGAGTTCCTCTTACTTAACCAGTCACATTTGTAACATGTCAAGTATTCCGCATTGGATGGCTGGAAGCACTAGTTTTCGCTTTGAATTCTGAACGCGTGATTGATTTAGTTTCGTTCCACTTTTTTCAGTTATCTTCGTTTTGCAATTTTTCACTAATAACTTAGCAAATTTACAAAGGCTGTAAATCTAGTAGAACCTCTTAGAAATGTGAGAACTTGGATATTCCAATTATTACAAGGAAGTGTATGCTTGAACGCAATCGTTGTCACATGGCGTTCATTCCTCGTTGTGTTTTTTACGAAACTTCGCAAAATTGCTTAAGTCCATGGTTGAAAGTACCCTGGATACCAGAGATGCGCAGTTTTCGGTCTCCATCAAATCTTTATTTTCGCGGCGCTTCGGCCTGCGGCCGACACCGAAGTTTCCCGCCACAGGCGAATGATAACAGAACTTTTGGTACCCAGACTAGGTTGTGAATGGTAAGGTCCATAGCGCTATACAGTCAACTCTATCGTAACGTACACCTCTGTTAAGTCGGATGTCTATCCATATCCACTGATATTTTCATTCTTTGCCGTCATTAAATTTGCTTTGATGCTTATTGCCTGTTCCAACAGGATCCGTGATAGGGCCTGTTTACATGGAGGTGAGGGACCCCAGGTAGGTGGGGTAACCCGCCTGTCCATATAATCTGTCATTCTAATTTGATCACGTTTACATGATGGGTGGGGTGACCATATGAGAGATTATATGGACAGGCAGGTTACCCCACCTAAGTGGGTTACTTCACCTACCTGGGGTCACCACCTCTGTGTTATCAGCCCGTTAGAGAGAGTTGACTGAATACGTAACGGTTCCCTCTTCTATTAATATATATTTTAAGCCTTTGCTTGTCTTGCTCTACCTTTAGTTATCCTCTCCTGGACTCGGATCTTTCCATTGTTCTTGGCCACTCAGACGATGTAGCGACATTAAAGGCGATACAGACTATTGTACGTTCTATGAGTGCTTTGAAACAGGCTGACGACCAAGCCATTAAACCCAGTTACCTCTCAAGTGAGTGAGTTAGTGTAGTAGAGAGAATGAAAACCGTTAAATGTGTCGCTACTGATATAGAGAATATATAGCCGGACCTCCCACACAAGACTAGCCGTGCATAGAGGGGTGAGTGATGGACTAATTGGTGAAGCTGTATTTGACTTATGTTTTTAATCTGGTGTCTTCAAACTAAAACTGAAACCAAAGCAGTCAACCTTTACAGTGACAGCAGACTCCAAGCGCGGAAAACGCTAGGAGAAAGTAGCAATTATTGTGTTTGATTTTTACTTCCGTTTTGTGGAGAAAACGAAGCGAAATAATAAAAAGCCCAAGCGTCCATTAGACTTTTGGTATTTTGTTGGGAGATTATGTTTCGCTATTTTAATTTACAAGCTGAATTTGGTGGTAAATACATAAATTCAGTTGTCTTAACTTTGGCTTTAAACCTACATCGAACCTCTACAACTGCCACCCGTCTACGACAGCCACATTTTTTCTGTTTTAGCAAACGCATCGTCTTGTTTTGCCTCCTCTACAACGGTCTTCCCCCTTTTGTCTCCAAGGTAGCTCTTGTGGGGAGGTTTGAAGGTAACAAAAGTGAGACCGCGCAATGTCATGTAATACGCACAGCATAATTCAGTTTCCTAAAATGTTTTTATAGCTTCCTTGGTGACTCATCCCTCGATGGAAAACGATACAAATTACACTTAACTTTTTCTTGTTTTGCTTACTTACAAGAATTCTTTTTCTCGTTTCACAGCTTTCGGATTTTCAGGATTCTGTCATTTTACAAAGTTTAGGGTAAGAGTAGTTCCATCAAAGGCCCCGTCCACACTTTTCCGTTTTTGTTTGAAAACGGAGGGTTTTTTTCTCCGGTTTGGCCATTCGGTGAAAACGGTCACCTAAAACGCATCTTTTCAAAAACGCTCTCCAGAGTGGAGATTTTTTAAAACGCTGGCTTCTCTTTTATTTATGGACGGTCAAAAAGGGAGGTTTTTGAATACGATGATGTCATAAATCATATGCTGCTAGCATTACGCATGCTCTGTGAGGGATGCTGTCGTATTTCCATCGTTTTAGCGTCTTCGTATGAACGGGCGAAAACTATTCGAATACGCTACATGTGGACGCGTTTTCAAAAATGTTCGGGTACTTGTGGATGGGGTCAAACTGAATAATCATGTTGGTAAGTCTTTGAGAAGAGCCATTATACAGCGATTATTTCCTTTGGCACTGTTGGATTTTTGAAATTTGCCTAAAAAGAATATGCCCTTTAGCTTCCTCTGTTTCTCGATTTCTCCATCGATTAGTATAAATACGTCGCGCAAAACGTAATTGCTTCAATTCACTTCCAGTTCTGAACCATGCATGGATGGCGAATCCGTTTCAGTTATCTGTATACAGGACTCGTACCTGGTCAATATTAATTGTTTTTCGTTAAGGGGAGACTGATTACGGGTGAAGCCAGTCTTGGCGTTAAAGGAATGGATGCGGCAAAAATATAAATAACGACTCGGTGCCTTTTTTTGGATATTATGATAGCTGACTTCCTTGGGCGCCAACATTGTGGTATACCAACCTCCCTTAATTTGAAAATACACAATAGCCACTTGGTACTAGTCTCCTGTCACTATTGTTCATTTTCAGGAACATAGCGGCCAAGCAAATCGCGCTCAGCTTTTCATGAAGTTCTTGGAAGCCGTCTTGGAAGTTTATGGCGCATCATTTGACGAAAAAACTCAACGTTCATGTTCTGTGGCGTCTATTAAGCCAATAAATCTGAGTTCCAGCACCGAAGATGTAAGGAAAGCACATTCGTCGTCTCTCTCGTCTTCTATGAGTTCTTTGTCTGGTGGTGCGACGGGTGGAAAAAACATTTTCATTCCAATTCCGTTTAAGCGAGCGGGATCCTCTTACAGACAAAAGAAGGAATCTCCCAAGTTTCGGAGAAACTGGTCTGCTAGAGCACAACGGAGCACCTCTGCTGGAAAAAGTGTTAAATGGTAGCAGGAAAGCGAGGATGAGGGGCTGACATCTTTATCAGTGAAGAATGTGGTCCGATGTTTTAAGTGATCCAAGTGGTAAAAACTAAGAATAGCACCAAGTGATTATGGTATCCTTGGTAACTAAAAATGGAGCCATTTCAGCACTGAATCAATGTTTGATTTAACTGAGACGGTGCTAAACGTTTCTATTGAGAAGCAGGGATAACGCCATTATTTTTATTTCTGCTCAGAGTCTTGACACAAGTTAGTCATGCTGGTCATGAATATAAACCATTTTATCACCAAAGCGATCTCAGCCATCAACTTTCCAGCATTGTGTGAAGTTGATGTCCAATAATATAAGTTGCATTTTGGGGTTTGAGCGACTTGAAATGTTGGTGGATCAAATCATAAGTCACAGGTGTATGTGGTCTGATGCCACGGAACGTTGCTCAAGGATGACGCTTGTCTTGCGAAAGCAGAACTGTCAATGGTGGGCATCTATCAGGTGGACCAAACTACGAGGTGGACACCAAAAGTAACCATCTTTTGAGTGGAGTTCCCCTCCAAAGAGACAGCCTGAAAAACGGATGCATCTAACGGTTGTGTATGGGCGACACTTTCCAAGACAACCAACCGTGCCAGATGAATAGAACAGTCGGAGTGATCCATAACATGTTCGTCATCGTTTTTCGTTCACTGTACACAACAGACGCTCACCAATGAAATCATCATTCCGACGTAGCACAGGGTACACGGGCGGCGAGTATAAAATGGAATTCTAATAATAGTTTTCAAATTTACCACTTAAAACAAGAAAATTTACAGGACACGGTATCACCTCAAATTTGGGATAGTCTCGAAAACCTGCATAATTCTTCCCTTTTTACGCGTTTAACAAAGTATTTAATTCAATTTGCAGGTATCACTGACACTAAAGCCTGCTTGATGACTATTTTTCAGTTCTAAATTGTGGCATTAGTTAGATGATTGCATGCGTTAGTCGGCATGTCATGCATCCCTAGAGACTGTTGTATGACAGCTATAGTGGCGCCTGTGATAGACTCATAACCCTGTTTTCGTTTAAGGAAATTCCGCTTGCGTGACTGGCCAAACTTAACGAGAGGTACAGCGTGACGTCATTCATTCATTGTTCTTGGAGTACCATGCTATGATGTATTTCTCAAGTAAACACAGGTTAAATTTTTTGAACTGAAAATCGCTATACAGTTGTTAGGGAATGGGAATACAGAAAATGCGACTGTATTATTGACTGAGTAGTGAATTCAATAGATATTTCCATTTGGTCGTGAAAATGAGCATTGTAAATAGTGAAAGCGGATTTTTATAAATTATATTGTACTTTTAACTTACCGATTGGTGCTTTAAGTGAATGAGACGTACCGGGGGTGGTAGAAAAGGGGCTGTTCGGGGCCCTGTTTTGAAAATTGGTCCCTTGCGTTAACTTCCCACCTCGCTTCGCCTCTTCCCGCTCTGATGAGCATAAGGCCTCCACATTTCTCTACCAGTTTACTTGCTTATCCTTCTGTCTTGAAAAGTGTCTGGTTTCAGTAATGGTGCTTTTTCATGGGGATGGGACGTTGACCAGACTCCCAATCTGGAGGGCCAGGCATTGCCATTCGTCTGATCTTTCATCTAAATCCTGCCCAGCACGGTTGAAATCCCCAGTGACCGAGGTCCCAACTGTTATAGCTTTCAGGATCACAAAGGCACGCAAACCTCCAAATCACGTTAAGTAGAAACTCTTAGGGAGGATGACTGAGTGTTTGAATTTATACCCCCGGCTGTGGCCCAAAAAAGTCGATCTCACCATGACACAGCGACTTGAAGGTCGCAGAAAACAGAAGAATCGATCACCAAAGTTAAAAGCATGTAAAATGTCTGGATTTCCCCTTCTTTAGAACGGGGAGTAATGCATGGACCTAAACACCACAATAGACTGAGAATCTTGTTTTGGGAACAGTCAGTTTATTCTAGTTATCATTATTCCTTATTTACATAAACCACCATATATATCTAATCAAGAGTTCATATTTGATACACAAACTACGGTCCATTCAATAACTGATTCATAAGGATAAAAAGAAACACTAGTACAAACAACAAGACAATCAGAAACTGCCGGAGTGGGTGGGAGATAAACTTGAAATTCAAATATTCCAGAAATGCTTAATCTTGATTTCTTGCTTGCTTGCTAAAAGTGCGCTAAAATACTAAGCCTTAGCCTGATAATATCAAAAATTAGGCGAGCTAGTGTGGTGTATTACAATTGGTTCTCAGCAGTCTTACGACTCCCATACAATATGCTCAATTCTGAAATAGCACGACTCCTATACAATGTACAACCACTTGCTCCCAGCCCAGACCTCTCCGTTATTATTGTCTAGATTCATATTTATGAGATGAATATTCATTTACAGGGTCCCAGAGGGGACAATAGCAAGCAGCTTGTTGTTATGTACTTTATTCGTTGAGAAGGGTAAGAAAATACAAAACAATAGAGAATGGTAGCTGACGAGAGCTTCAAAAAGTCATTGATAAGTCGTAAAGAAAACACCAAAGAAACTATGTTCAATGAGTGTTTTTATATCTGATATAGACACGGCTAAGTTTTAAGTCCAATTTTTTTAGACCATTAGCGTAGTGTACAGTTTTATTAAAGTGTTGATTTACATAAATAAGGCTCTGAGTGGTCGCTTACGAGAGCGTAAAAACAAGGGAAAAGTCCAGTTGGGTAATCCCGAAAGTGGTCGCGGTCGCTTAAGAGAGCTTGAAGTCACAGTTCAAACGGGTTTTCGCAAAGGTGGTCGTAACTAGACCTGGTAGCTTACGAGAGCGGTCGCAAGGAGTGCTTTGACTGCATACCTTTCTACAAAGGCGGCTCTCTAAATTTCAAAATGGTTAGATACTCAAGGTCATCGAAACACATTTCAGAGACAAGCGTTTTTAAAGCAAGTGTCGAATCTTCCCGATATCTCCTTACGAAGTTTCTCATGCGTAAAAACGCGAAATCAGAGATGTGAACCAATCTGGAGTTTTCGTTCACGTACCGGTAGTTACGTTTAGTGAAGGCAAGTTGTGTAGAACTGTTGGCGAGGTTTATTCCCCCAAACATATAGAAGAAAATGAAGTATTCGGCTTCTAGTTTGGGATAGCGCAGTTTTCCACCAAACTCTTCTATAACTTTCACGACTTTGCACCAGGGACTGTGCCATTCACAGCTGACACCACCGACAAGCTTCGCCAAATACATTGGAGTTATACCATCTCTGTTGGGACAATTAACGTCTACGCCTAATAATTGTTTCGTCGAAAGTAACTGGTAGATAAACTGCCACATGCCTCGTATGGCCGCGAGGTGATACAGGCTTAAGTCAGGACGACTTTCGTTGCAGCCGATGTTTACTGTTCCAAACTTGATCAGGTGACTCAGAATAGTAGAGGCTGAGATCGATGCAAGATCCACCTCAAGACCTGTTAGGATATTTTCGTGGCGGAAGTCAAGAAATAGTGTGTATTTATCTGAATACAGTACTGAAAGCCAAAGCGGAGAAATGCCATCTGCATTTTTTATCAATGGGTTACCTCCCCAAGCCAGGAATCTTCTTAGAGCAATTACGTTGGCTCCTTGTGCTGCTCTATGCAAGGCATTATAGCCTTGCGTATCAAAACAGTCATCAATAACGTTGGTGCCTCGAGGATGAGACTTGATTGCTAAGGCCAGTGGTCCATCACCAGTCCGAATAACGTTTGACAAACCACGACGGTCCCGAACCTCTTGGTACTCATCCAAAAAGTAGTCAAATAGGGAATCATTTGATGCTAGGTATTTAGACCACTTTTTTGCTCCCTTAGAGAACTCAGAAAGGTAATGCAAGTAATGTAACTTGTGGTAAGAGATAAGGTGCAAAGAAGATTTTTCAAACGGATTTCCACAGGAAATGTCCACCGTCACTTTATGTTTTGCCAAGACTTTTGACATGTGACGCCCTCCACCATGAAGATAAGTTAAAAGAGGGCTTAAACCTGACTGATCTTTGCAATTGATATCCACACGTTCTTGCAAATACGAGTTAGCTGATCGAACCCAATTATGTTGAACAAGGGATGTGAGAAGCGAACATGTATCTAAACGATAAAACGTGTTGAATGTCTTTAACAGCGTTTTAGTTAGCATTTTTGGAAGAAACGGTATAGTGAAACCTTTAAAGGCGTTATGGAGAAGGATATCCATAAGGAAAACGTTTGGAGATGTAAGAAATGTCACATCTGTTTCTTCGTAGCTTTTACTGCCGGTAAGGAGAAACGAAGCATTGCTTTTTTCTTTGAGTTGGTTAACAACATAAACATACGCTTTTAGTATTGGATGGTCTTTGGGCAATCCGAAGAGTAGCCTTTTTTCAACATTGGCATTTAAACTTTGAATCATTCGTACAACAGCATTCCACCAAGTGAATTGTAGGTCGCCTTTTTCCCAGGGCTCTTTTTCATTTAACGCTTCTATCCAGTTGATCGGCCTGTCAACATACAGATCAGCAAAATACTCTCTTTCCACAAATTTGATGTTATTAACAAGGTAATGTAATATCGTCATGTTCTTGTTATCTTGAGCAGAGTAGTTGCTACCCAATTCAAGCAGAGCTGAGAAACTGGTTGTCGCAAGACAAGCTGCCGCACTGTGAAGTGGTGTTGAAAGGTTGAAAGTTCGTAGGTTGATTTTCGCCCCACTGTGAACAAGGAGTTTTATGAGAGACACCTTGCCATAGCACGAGGCTATATGAAGTGGAGTTGATCCATCGCAGTCTCGGAGATTGACATCTGCGTTATGCTCAATTAGTAATTTGGCAACACTGTAATGGCCATACATGGCTGCAATATGTAAAGCACTAAAACCACAAGGGCAATAGTTGTGCTGTGGACCAGCCAATGAACTAGCTTCGCAGCGCACAGAAGTGTTAATGCCCGCTGTTAACATCACTTGTAACGCATTGTATTTGTTAAATTGAACCGCCTCGTGTAAGGGACGTCTTCCTGCAGCATTAGGGCAGTTCAAAGAATTTTCTGGCTGACGTAATAGAGCCTCGATCACAGACAGATGCTCTTTTCCGACTGCGGCATGCAGAGCTGTCTCCCGCATCTCCAGGTGACCGTTATCAAGCACGTGTATCCTCCTGTTGTCCTGATTCTCGTTTTTTGTACCATCTTTTGGAAGGTTATTGTCGTGTATGCAAGTATCTTCCACACCTTCATTCAATAAATATTCCACGACACGTCCGTGGCCTCCTGCAACAGCATAATACAATGAGACTCTATCCAAGAGTCCGCCAGCTTTCTTAATGGTTTTAACGACTTTAAGATGTCCATTTTTAGCCGCTAGCTCGATAGGAGTGTTATTGCAGTGAGTTGTTTTCAGCACATTCGCATGGCTTTCAATAAGAAATTCCACAATCTCAACGTTTCCTTCCTGCGCGGCAATGTGCAACAGGGAATATTCGCACGCCAGTCTCCGACACTCGGGGGTCGACGGCTTCAATTGTCTACATTTGACTGTGTGGTTAAGGTTTGCCCCTTTCGATGCAAGAATAATAAGATTTTTAACGCATCCGGCACCTGCAGATACGAACGCAGGCGTGAGGTATTCATTATTTAAACAATCAACGTCTGCGAAATGCCTGGTCAAAAGTTTAGTGACATCTGGAGAGGCCAAACGCGCACTTGTGTGTAATGCAGTGTTGTTGGACTCATCGCTGTTGTTAACAAAATATGAAGGGATTGACATAAATTCGCGCACCTGATCTTCATTTGAGCCACCCTCTACGATGTGGTGCGTCAAGAAGAACGCTTCTTCTGGTGTAAGCTGTTTTTTGAATTTTTTGGCATTTTGAAGATAGTATTTGGCTAGACGTCTGTGACCATTTTCTTTCTTTACGTAATAAAATTGCCCCTTTTTACTTTCTCCTGTCAACCATTCAGACAAAGACGCATGATAAATTCGCACAAGGCCATTCCGGGATCCATGCCACAGAAATAAGGATACTTCTTCCAGTTTCGGCATAATATCATACTCGTAGTCGAGAGCTTGGTTGTCAAGTTGAAGGACTGAGTGGATTTCTTGGGCAGATAGCGGTCTATGTGATGCGACAAGAACTTCAAAAATCTCGCGTAAAGATTGGATTGAATTAGGAGTTGGGTATTTTCGTTCAAAGTACGACTGAAATACGTTGTCCAGTGTTTTGGGAATGTTTTCAGTCCAATTTGTGCTTTCTGTTGTCGCAAATAAAGTGTCTAATACAAGACGTACGTACAAGAAATTTCCTTGGGACTTCTCGACAACGCTGGAAACAATTCTCTGATACACGGCGTTGTTTTCCTTGATGGAAAAGTATGATTTTATCTTGGAAATGATTGAACCTTTTAATGGATATATCCTATCCATCGTATATGTATCAATATCCTGTACATTTCTTAAGTCGTCTTGCCACAGCTCCAGTCTTCGCAAACCTTCGAAGCTTTTGGTAATGGTGCTCATATTACGCGTGGTTATAATCAGTTTAAGCCACATTGGAAATCGCCGAACTTTTGATTTGAGCATGTTAACAATTTCTGCTTTGGCTTCTGCGCACTCGTCTAATGCGTCAATAACAACATACAAGGGCTGTTTTGGCTGGCGCCGCAGTTTCACTAGAGGTGTAATGATTCCTTCCTGGAAACACCACTCTGGATCTCCTGGACAATCGTATCGAAGTACTTTATTGGCAAACGATGAACTCAAAATGTTTTCACGGTATTCTTCCATTCTTAACGCGATCATGTTTGCAAGATTTCGAACAAATTTGGCTGCATTTTGTGTCCCCTTGTCCGAGTGCATACAGAAATGATATCCGAGGATTCTGTCATGTATAAATGGGCTTGATGCTCTGGAACAAAGCAAATGGCAAACAAACGCTGTCTTGCCAGAACCAGGGTTTCCAATTAATAAAATACCACGTCCACCTGGCTTCTCCATGATCTCATACATTTCCTGGTACAACCATTGACGCCCAATAAAGCCTGCCCTGGATGACGTAATAAACTCATCGAAGTCAAAATACTTAAGTTTCCATAGATCATGGGGTTGTTTGAGATTACATCCTAAAGAGAAATGAAGAGACCTATTTTTAAAACATTCAATCACATATCGCTGAAGTTAGGAAACTATCAAGACTACTACACACAACTGAAGAATTTGAAAAAGCTAGTCTCGTGTATGTCTTCTTCACCACCCTGCTAGCAGAGCCTTTCTTTCGCTTGCTCGGTTTTGGAGTATTCGAGAAAGACTCTGAAATGAGTCCCAATGAATAGAATTCAGATCTTAATAGCAGCATGCGCTGCATGCTGCTAGGAAATCTAACCTATGCCGAATGGTCGTGCGCTTGGTACAACGGTCTCAGTTATAACCATCGTTTTATCAATAAAGGGATGCGCGCACTCGAAAAACTAGTTTGGCGAGAGAAAACAAGATTGCCTAGTCCAGAAGTTCCCGCCACGGCGACAAGGCCTTACGTGATTTCGGCAAAGCCTCCTTTTCTCCTCTTCAATCAAGAAGAAGACAAAGGGAGGCTCTGCTCGCGGGGTGTTTCTTCAGTTGATTCTTCAAACGTTCAGTTTAATTAGTGGATTATTACATAATACTAAATGTGATGAGGGTTTCTGTGGTCTACGTTATACTGTTCATTGAAAACAAGCGTAAGTACCGTCTTTTATGAATGTGCCATCGTTTGAGACATCACACCAGTTGCAAAAGAGGAACATCATCATCAGCAAAACAACCTCTTTTCGGTGACCCTTTGCACCCCTTCCAAGCTTTCCAATTTGAGAGAGAAAAAAATTCAACACTGTATATGAATAGGAGAGAAATACGTTTCTTTGCTCCAGGAGTTCCACAGCCCTTTCCAATGTCGCCTTGTTATTGCTGGATTCCCTCACCAGGTTATTTATGACTTCCTTAAAGTAAGCCAAAACTTGAGGCTCCATACTATGCAAGTCTGTAACGCTTTTAAGATTGACAATTTCCTTAAGAGCTTTCTGGGCGTCCGGATCTCCAGCTAACTGAGGATCTTGCAGCAATTTTTCAATGCTGACAAAAGCGTTTGCCTTGTCAGCGTTGGATAATTCAAGTTTTGGTACGTGCACCCATTTTTCATTTCGAGTTTCACGGACGTCCTTAACTAAGGGCTGAGGAATGGTAAACTGATCACACCAAAACATTAGGTTCAAGATAGCGGCCACATCCATATCGTGCGCACTGGTTATCATTGCATGTCCGCCTAAATCTGGGAGGAAGAGCTTGGCTATCTCCCAGGGACCCAAGTTCGGATCCATCCATTTGGTGGGATCACTTTGTTTCCAGTTTGGCTTGTGTGAATGGTGGTGAGCCTCAAGGATATTAGCCCAGACACAAGTAGTCATGTCGTGGTACTGGTTGGGCTTCCTTCTCGCGACGTAAACGCAAGTACAGGGTCTCGCTCCAGGTATTGCCGCAACTGTCGCTGTCACATTCCTATAGAAAGCTTCCGTCTCTCTATTAACAAATGGACGAAGACCCTTGCAGAGGACTGTTGTCAACGCATGGCCTAGAGCAAGCCAGTTTCTATACTCTGGTGTGGTGAGGGGTCCTGTTGATACAGCTGGTACGGAGCAACCTGCTACCCCCGTCGCCATGGACGATTGAACACGCTGAAAAAAATGGAAAACAAGCCTTTCTACACGTCGTTGTACAATTATGCTGAATGTCAAGCTCTGTTGAAGTTGGTTAGCCCTAATTAGATTACGATTTTCCGTCGGCGAAACTGAACTCTGACTTGAATTTTTCCCCTAAATTATTTGTTGATTGTTTAAAATCTTTGATATGATTTGCCAAAGTCCAGACTGTTAAAAGTTTATTTTCGGTCATGGTTCGGGAGACTTTTTTATAGTCATCTTCTACTGGTTACTGACGATGTGCACCCATGTAGGTGAGGCCCTGTTCAAGCGTTGTGCTATCGTTATGCCGAATTACAACATCGGAATCAAACTTTCGGGCCAGGTAAATAGGGCTCGGCAAGCACTAACATGCTTAAAATTATGCTTAATGTATAAGTTGGCATGACCTTGAGTCAGACGTTGTGCTTCGAATTCACTTGTGCAGAAGGCAATGCACAACTGTGTGATAATTATGTTTTGGTCTAGTGTGACTAATTGACGTTTGACGTTTGAGGCGAGCTGTAACTCTGTTGAGTTCGGTACAAATAGACAGACGTTTGAAAAGGGGCACCCAACGACAGTTTTCTGTAAAATACCTATTCGGGGAAGCAAAAACTGGCTAGAATTTTCTATAGCTTGAGAAAGGCTAAAAATTTCTAGATGACCGCTCCATTCATGTACAATTTTCGAAGCTTACCTATAAATTCCCTACGATTTTCTAAAATTTGATTTTTTGCATTTGACTCCCCAGGTTAGGCTATATTTTGGATTCGTAAAACTTTAACTTGCATCTAAAATTTCCGAGAAGATAATACTGGCGCTTTTTTAATTTCTAAAATACTCAAGTTGCCCTAGGGCGACCGAACAAATACAAATTCTATAGCGCCGCTTTAAAATGTATTTCTAGAGATCTAAAGTACTCTTTATAGCGTAGAAAGACATTTCAATGTGTTTAGGAGGAAACCGTCGTTGGGTGCCCTTGTTTGAACCGTGCGTAATAAGTACCATCCACATTCAACTCCACAACTCGATTTGAATGGTAACTAAACCTCACCATGAAATGATTAATTTTCCTTATTCATAATAACAAACTTAAGACTGAAAAATACTAATGAATAAATAATTTTTCTGATTGGCACATCGAGAGGTTTACTGTTCAGCGAAATGTGCAACCGAAGAACCTCTCGACTCAGATGAAACCGGGAACGAAGGCAAAGACTATGCTGTCTGCGAGACTAAAGCGTGGTGGAATTTACCGTCACCGCGGAACATCTACAGGTATCTGTTAATAATTAACCTGAGCAAGATGGTTTACATGAAGTGGGTCTCGAATTAAATATTTCAGCGCAGCTCAGAAATCCGAGATCAATTTGTACGTTGTCCTCTAAAAAATTTTGTTTGATCAGTACGGGGACTTAAAACGATATTGCTACGGCTTCATCAGTTACCACCACAAACAAACAATGAAATATACTGTCTCCCGACTGTGCCTCTCTACTCTAACAAAATGCACTTACAGTACTTCAAGAAAACTCCTGGTTGATTCCGGCTTCCTATCAGCTGTGCCGAATGTTTTGACTATAGTTGCTGGCCTTCTTGATGTCAAATGATCAAAAAGTGTAGCGCAATTACTTCGCATGTGTGAGAAAATGCAGAAATTTCTACCCCACTTCCCGGAAGTGATATGCATATCAAAAGAAGTCACCCTCGATCGGAGATCAGTCGCGCACGTCACGACACGCTTCCTGATCTCCTGCATTTTCTTTAATTTTTGCTTGGTTCGAAACATTGCGCCTTCAAGTCCACTATGATTTCCCCTCAAAATTACTTACATAGGTATATGCCGCCCAAGGGATCGTGATTTTGTGAATTTCGAGCTACTCAACAAATTGACATTTAAACTGCAAAGGACCGCCAACGAATATGCCGCAAAACGTTGGATCTATAGAGGGCCTGATCAGCAAAAAATACGCTGAGTAGAAACACTGAATTCTGCAAAGCTGATCATACTAGGTGAAATATGTCTTTCAAAGTTAATTTTCACGTAGTACGATCAGCTTTGCAGAATTCAGTGTGTCTAATCAACAAGGTATCCACACACAGACGTTTGTCAGAAGGTTGAGAACCGGGTGTAATTTGAGACCGCACGATAGTTCATCAGTATAAGCAGCCAGCAAATATCGTTATTATACATTGTACAGACTACCTGACTTCTCATTGGCTAAGAGACTAAGAGATTGTTTTGGCAATCAGCGCAGCCTTCAAATAGGTGTCGGATAGGCTAGTTATCTGACAGCAGATAACTGACTAATTTGTAGGTTGCGCGTGGAATGCATGATTTTCAAGCCTTTTTTTTTCAAGAGGCTCCCGTGCAACCGTTTGTTTGTCTTTTGTTTTGTTTTCGGTTTTTGAGATATCTGAAATAACTAAGATCGAAGACCTCGACTTTGATTACTCCGGACTATCACAAAAACCGAATACCTAGAATGTATACAGTTGTTAATAACACGTGCCTATCCTCTACTGTGGAATGTATTTGAATGCAAAATCATTCTAAAATGGGGAGTATAGCTCCGTATACACTGGTATACATTCGCTTCCTAGCTCAAGTTGTTGAGAGCAAGTTATTGTTATTTATGTCTATCTCTTATTTGTTATTTAACTCTATCTTTCGAAGCTTAAGTAGTAGCGGCGTGAATTTTTATCGGACAGTAAAATTGTTAAGTCTCAATTATCAAGCACAAGATGTGAGAATTAGGACATGTCATCCATTACAGCTAGCAGAATAGACAATCTTTCTCGAGTGTCCTTTTTTCAACACCTCAATTGACGCAAGATAAACAAAGGGAGTACCCACAGTAACTTTCTTAACCATACGAATTCCAAATGACAGCCAAAAAATAGTGATCTTGGAGGATACGGTAATATAAAACATTTACACAAAATTTAGCAATCTTGTTTGAAGAAGAAACCAAAGAAAAAATTCTCCAAGGTTGCTTAAGTACAGTGAAACTCCATCATTGCGACCACCAAGAATAAAATCTGGTCGTATTAACGTGGTGTTCAGAAAGGAAAATGACTGAATATTTAACACCAATTTTTCCAGTCAAAGCCCTATACAGTCAAACTTCCACTTATGGCCACCTCTCCACAACTGCCACCTCTCAACAATCAACACTTTTTTTGGCGGACAGTCCATACATTCACTCTTGTTTAACCCTGTCTTCAACGGCCACTTTCTTCTGATGCCAAGCTGGCCGTTAACTACTCGTAAACAGCCACCTCTTGTAAGAGACTGCAACCACTTTTTGGGGTGACGGTTTTGTAATATTCTCATGTAAGTGACCACTTGATGGCACGTAGCAGCACGGGGCAGGGGGGGTACTTGGATTAACTTTTGCTGAATATGTGTTGCTGGCCTGTCAGAGCCCCTACCCATCATAGTTCATTCTGTGACCAATTATAGACTCCATCTTAGTCACTTCTGGGAAAATATGTAATTTTCACGATCCCAACTTAGTCACTTTCTATTTTTATGAATTGACCCATATTTTAAATGGAATGAACAACACTTTACTTTTCACCTACAGAATAAACACTCTGGTACGTTTGCTAACTGTAAACATGAAGAACTGTCTTACCCCCAAAAATCCAAAAAAGTGCAACCCCATTCTAGTAACTCAATTGAAAATGCGACCCCATTATAGTCAATCCAGTTGTGAAAATGCGACCCCATCCAGCAGCACATCCCCATTAGCCTCTTATATAGAAGTACCCCCCCCCCCCCCCCCCCCCCCCCCCAAACCCTTTTGTGTTTTTTTTCCATTTTTTTTTCATTTTTCTTTTTATTTTTATTATATAAAAAAAACATTTTACATAAAAATTTTATTTAAAATTTTTTTTACCAAAAAAAAAATATGATAGTTAGGAAGCACACACATTA